TACAAAGAAAGATAAGTATAGGCCAATATCTCTGATAAACATAGATGCTAAAATCCTCAACAAAATAGTAGCAAATCGAATCCATCTGTACATTTAAAAGATCATACACCATGATCAATTGGGATTTATTCAGGGATGCAAGGCTGGTATAATATTTGCAAATCAATAAATGTGACACATCACATAAACAGACTGGAAGACAAAAATCACATGATCATGTCAATTGGTGTAGAAAAAACATTTGACAAAGTGCAACAACCTTTTTTTTGATAAAAACACTCAGTAAAGTGGGAATAGAGGGATCATGTCTCAACATAATAAAGGCTATATATGACAAAACTACAGCCAATCTCATGCTCAGTGGGAAAATTTAAAACCATTTTTCCTAAGAACAGGATTAAGACAAGAATGTCCACTTTAACCACTCTTATTTAATATAGTCCTGGAATTCCTACCCATAGTGATTAGACAAGAAGTAAAATAAAAGGCACCCAAATTGGAAAGGATGAAGTAAAACTGTCATCATTTGCAGATGACATGATATTGTACATAGAAAACCCTAAAGACTCCATCAAAAAACTACTAGATTTAATAAATGAATTCGGCAACTTAAGAAGATACAAAATTAATACCCAGAAATCAATGGCATTTTTATAGACAAATAATGAATTCTCAGAAAGAGAAACAAACAAACAAACAAAACAATCTCATTTACCTTTGCAAGAAAAAAAAATAAGATACTTAGGAATTAACTTAACCAGGGAGGTAAAATACCTCCCTGCGCATGTCATAGCGAGTGATCGAACTCCCGGTCTCCTGGTTAAACTCAGAAGGATGTTGAAAAAAGAGTTGGAGGAATATATAAAGAAGTGGAATTATATACCTTGCTCATGGATTGGTAGAATCAACATCATTACAATGTCCGTACTACCCAAAGCAATCTATAGATTCAGTGCAATCCCTATTAAAACACCAATGGCATATTTCATATATCTAGAACAAACACCACAAAAATTTATATGTAACCAAAAAAGACCCCAAATAGCTTCAATAATCTTAAGAAAGAAGAACAAAGTTGAAGGAATCACAATACTAGATATCAAATTATACTACAAAGGCATGGTACTCAAAAGAGCCTGGTAGTGGCACAAGAACAGGCATACAGTTCAATGGAACAGAACAGAATCTAGAAATCAACCCAAGCCATTATGCTCAATTAATATTTGACAAAGGAGATAGGAGCATACAATGGAGTAAAGACAGTTTCTTCAATAAATGGTATTGGGAAAATTGGATAGGTACATCCAAAAAAAATGAAACTAGACCACCAACTTATACCATACACAAGAATAAAGTCAAAATGGATAAAAGAGTTAAATGTAACTCAGGAAACCATACAAATCCTTGAAGAAAACATAAGCAGTAAAATCTCAGACATCTCTCATAGCAATGTGTTTACTGATACATCTCCTAGGGCAAAAGAAACAATGGAGAAAATAAACAAATGAGACTACATGAAAATAAAATGCTTCTGCACAGCAAAAGAAACCATCAACAAAATAAAGAGCTCACTACATGGGAGAACATATTTACAAATGATACATCTGATAAGACATTAATTTCCAAAATATATAAAGAACTCATACAAGTTAACAAAAGGAAGACAAACAGTCCAATTAAAAAATGGGCAAAGGACCTAAATAGACACTTCTCCAACACAGACATACAGAAGGCCAAAGACATATGAAAAAAATGCTCACAGTCACTAATTATCTGAGAGGTACAAATCGAAACAACAAAGAGGTATCACCTCACACCTGTTAGAATGGCTTTCATTAAGAAATCAACAAAAGCCTAATGTTGGGGTGAGGATGTGGAGAAAAGGGAACTCTAGTACACTGCTGTTGGGAATGAAGACTGGTGCAGCCACTGTGGAAAACAATATGGAGTTTCCTTTAAAAAATTAATAATGGAACTCCCAGAACCAGTGATCCCACTTCTAAGAATATATCCTAAGAAACCAGAAACACCAATCAGAAAGAATATACACACCCCTATGTTCATAGCAGCTCAATTTACAATAGCTACTAGTAAGATTTGGAAACAGCCCAAGTGCTCATCAGCATATGAGTAGATAAAAAAACGATGGTACATTTACACAATGGAATACTATGCAGCTGTAAAAAAACAGAAAGAACTCTTACCATGTGCAACAGCATGGATGGACCTGGAGAGTATTATACCAAGCGAAATAAGTCAGAGAAAGACTAGTATCACATGATCTCACTCATATGTAGAATCTAATGAACAAAATAAACTGACAAATGAAATTGATCCAGAGACATAGAAGCATGGAACAGACTGGTGAATTTCAGAGGGAAGAGGGGGATAGAGGGTGGGGTGGAGAGTGAATAGTAGGGGAACTTATATGCATATATGGACACAGACAATAGAGTGGTGAAGGTCTGGGAGGGGCGGGTGCAGGGTGCAGGTGATCAATGGGAAAAACAAACAAAGGGAACATCTGTGAATTTTTCAACAATAAAGAAAAAAATAACCATGTACATCCCTCAGTGGATTATCCATTCCAACATTTCTACTGCATATGAAGCCATGTGTTTTTCCTCGGGGGAACCAAGGTGAGGTCCCAGGTCAAATGCAACTTGTAGTGTCTTTTAAGGGCAATGGTGCAACTCAGTGTCTCAGTCAAGCTGTTAAAAGCCTGGTAGAAAGAACATGGTAAACTGAGTCCAGCAAGACCCCTGAGCCCTACTACCAGGAGATGACTGTTATTTGTTCCCTTTTCATGTTGGGGGAAGAAGGGGCAGCTTCTTTGAACTGTGTTTGTGACCAAGTCAACACAGCCAGTAATGAAACAGATAAAAGACAATGTGTCAGCTGTTAAAGTTCACACTACTCATTTTACAATTGGAAAAGCAAAGGTCCCCAAAAGTGTAGCATTTTTTTCAGCGTGAGCCAGCAAACCAGTAACGGGTAGGTTTCTTTGACTAGCATTCTTTCTAATAGTCCTGAGCTGTGATAATGAATATAAATCAGCCTGGCAGTTCCTCTAGCATCTAGAATTCCCAGACTAGACAAGCAGCATATGAGATTAACTGTTAAATGCACTTTTAAATTTTTTTATCTGCATGATGATGGTATTCTTTGCAAACTTGATATTTCATGGGTAAGGGCCAATAGGGGGACACAAAGATGTTTCTAAAGCACCAAGACCATTCACAGAGTGTCTGAAAAAAAGTTGACTGTGGCTGATATGTTTTGACCTCTGTGTTCTCTGGACTGACCTCCCCTGCATTGTTTTTGTTTCATTGTTTCTCTTCTTTTGTATTCCCCCTATTCTTTTTTTATCCTTCAGCCTGGGACTTAGGCCTACCCTTTTCAAGTCAATAAAACTGCTAATTATTCATAACATGGGAATGGGAGTGCATAGTGGCCAAGAAGCATACATATTTTTCCCCTGCTATAGTCATTTAGCTCTCTACAATCTCAGACTAGTAACTGTTGCCAATGGCAACTCAATTAATCCTTTCCATCCTTCATTTCAGGGTCCGTTGTTCTGACATTTGCCACTCTTGTCTTTGATTGTTTGTTTTTTGGTTCTAAACCCTTTTCTGATTGGTGCAGCTGTTGAAGATGCTGCAGTCACAGCAGCGTGCATCTGGAACATTTGGCTGACTTGTTGAACCTTCCCCAGGGACTACTCCAGGGAGAAGAGGGGAGGGGTGGAGAGGCCAGAACAGTTGCCTGCAAATATAGATGCCAATATTGTCTGGCCATTCTGCGGACCACCCTTGTAAAAATTCACCTCATTCTGGCACTCAGTTTCCCCATTTGCTCATTGAAGACACATGTTCTCCACTCAAAACTCTTGCTGCGGTGGAAGAAGAGAAGCTATATTGGCTGTGGGTTCTCTCATACTGCATTTTCTACATTTTTTTAAAAAATATGTTTTTATTGATTTCAGAGAGAAGAAGGGAGAGGGAGAGGGAGGGGGGAGAGAGAGAGAGAGAGAGAGAGGGAGAGAGAGAGAGAGAGAGAGAAACATCAATGATGAGAGAGAATCCTGCACAGGCTGCCTCCTGCATGCCCACCACTGGGGATCAAGCCAGCAACCTGGGCAAGTGCCCTTAACTGAGAATTGGACCTTGACCACCTGGTTCATATGACGACGCTGAACCATTGAGCCACATCAGTCGGGCAGCACTTTCTACATTTAAAGGGATCAATGTATATTTGTTGAATTAATTAATATATCAAGACACCGTTTTACCCTGCACAGGGCAACAGCACTTCATAGGTGGACTTCTTCATCACTTACTTTGAGGCTGTAGACTTACTCCAGGAGTGGGGCTGCCTGTATCCCTCCCCATTCTCACTCCCTTTGGCTCCCTGGCTCCTGAGTTCCTTTTCTTTTGGCGCACTATTGGATTGAAAACACAGCAGGCATGGTTTCATTCCAAACCCAGAACTGTTTTAATTAGTTTAACGTCTGTTAACCGCTTTGAAGATTGAAAGCAACAGATAAGTACTGGATGATGTTATTAGCAACTGCAGTTAATTGCAAACATTTCTATTAATACTACTTTCTGCCTCCTTTTACTTGCTCTACTTTCCAAGGTTCCCAATTTCTTCTCAGCCTCCCCCTCCTCCTCTCCCCTTCCCCCGTACTGGCGCTAAAGGGTTAAATTGGGGCGGAGTCTAGTGATGAACGACATCAGCAATCACCAACTGGAATGGTGCAAGCAGGAAGAGCTGGGTGGGGCCATCAGGCAGAGGCAACTCACACACCCCCAGGCTCCGCCTCGAGGCCTGAGGCCCCGGGTGGAACACCAAGGGGCGGGGCACCCAGGCTTGGCGAGCCCGATGGTTGGACGCCTGGGCAGCTGCTTGAGGGATGGGGCGGGGTTGTCCCCGAGCCTCCTCCTTCATTCCATTGGCCGGCCCAGAGGCCCCTCTCTCTCGCCCCTCCTCCTCCTCCCTTTCCCACCCCTCTGAGTGGAGCTGCACATGCGGCTTCTCCCTGCTCCGTCCCGCCCAGCCTCCGTCGCGCAGGAACGGGTCCCTGCAGCCCCCAGCCCATGGCAGGACGGTAGCTGCCTGTCAGGGGTCCTAAACGGCTGAGGCAGACGCGGCGGCTCCCGAGCCTCAGAGAGTGGGCGTCTCCGGAGGCCATGGGCTACCCCGAGGTAGAGCGCAGGGAGCCCCTGCCTGCAGCAGCGCCAAGAGCGGGGGAGAGTCAGGGCTGCGGCTGTCGCGG